GTCGAGCCCTGTCGCAACAACAACCTCAACCCCAACCTCATAATCTCATTGATCTGAATATACCTAGCCATCAACAACCAATAGATCATATCTCTCCTCCTTCAAATGCAAAAGATCTCACCAATTTGTAAGCATCTTTCCTCACCGATTTTAAATCCCTAGTTACTCCATATCACTCCTCACAAATCTCGTATTTCACCTAATTCCTCCTTTAAAAAATCTTTAATGACTCACACCCCAAAACCCATATTCTTCTTCTTTGGAATGCGAATGGTGTTAGAAATTAAGTTGAAGAACTAACAGCTTTACTAATGGACAAGAACATCGACGTAGCACTAATTACGAAAACTCAACTGACCAGAAAACATCATTTAAAAATACCTCAACATAAAGTATTGAACATCCTGACGGTAGAGCACATGCCGGTACTGCTTTTATTGTACATCAATCCCTTTCTCATCACCAGCTTCTTTTACCGATTTTAGATTTCCTACAATCCACCGCCATCCTAATGAAAACCTTCTCCTTTCCCGTCACCATAGCATCAGCATATTACCCTCCTAACAGATCCATATCCGATATCCAGTTCAGTTATCTTCTCAACTCCTAAGGACATCACTTTATCCTGGGTGGAGATTTAAACGCCAAACACCATCAATGGGGATCTAGAACCACGAATTCTCGTGGTAGAACATTGCTATCTGCACTCAATTCCCAACGTTTCAGTCTCCTTCCTCCTAAATCACCTACCTACTAGCCCACAGATTCTGACCGAAATTCCGATATCCTTGATTTTTTTATCGACAGTGGCTTAGGTTACCTCAATCATTCCCTTTCCCGTCTTGCCGAACTATCCTCAGATCATAGTCCGTTATTACTCCAATTATTTCTAGCTCCTATTCCCAACTCTTCTCCACCGTCCTTCATCAGAGGCTCAGTTAACTGGAAACTCTTTCACCAAATCCTTTCCGATAAAAGACCTTGACAATGCAGTACATTTCTGCACCACCACTATTCAACAAGCAATCTGGACTGCTTCTTCTCCAAACCACTCCTCAAAAAGTCTCAAGAAAAATAAGTTACCTCAACACTCCATACCTCATACCTCCACACCAAACCCCGTGCCAGATTATTATGGGAAACATAAACATACACCCCACCGATCGTCAATCCTATAATTATTTTTATAAAAAATTAAAGTAGGAATTGGCCACCTTCAATCCTTCAACTTCTATCTTACTTCCCTCTCTGCTCATGACACTTCCCTATGGAAGATCACTGAAAAAATCCTAAAACCCCATCTCATTTCACATCCTCTTCGTTGAGGTGATGGCTCTTGGGCAGCGTCTAACTAAGATAAAGCCGAGGAATTTGTAAAACCCTTTTCCCTTACATTCATCTTTCATCCGGAATACAACGCCATCTACAGTACAGCAGTAGAAGAGTTCATTAGTTCACCTATCCCACTCTCTTACCACCTAAAGCAGTTAATCCTTCTAAAGTCAAATGTCACTTCCAAAAACTACTTCCCCGCAAATCACCTGGACACGACCTTCTTACCTCTCATATTCTTAGACAACTGCCTCCTAAAGCTGTCATATTCCTTACATACATATACAATAGCATCCTACGAACCATCTACTTCCCTCTTTATGGAAACATTCTACTATTATCCTATTTACAAACGCAGGCAAACCTCCCAACAGCTTAACTTCCTACAGACTCATTAGCCTACTTCCATTCCTTTCTCATATCCTTGAAAAGATCTTCCTGAAACGAACCCTACCCTATATAGAATCTCAAAATCTTCCTTCGCATAAGTTCGGAATCCGTTCCCAACACTCCACAGTCCAACAAGGACTTTCAGTGGTCGATCATATTTCCGTAGCCCTGGAAAGCAAGCAATATTGCATTTCTTTTCAAACCTAAAACCCATCTGCCTCAGTTTTTATATCATCTCCTCCGCTCCTACCTCTCCGATCGTACCTTCCGAGTTCGCTGCAGCACTGAATTTTGCAATTGCTATCCAATTGAGGCTGGTGTTCCTCAAGGTAGCGTTTTGAGTCCCGCTACATCCTCTTATCGCCGATATCCCTGTCCATCCCAATACCTTCCTGACAACATTTGCTGATGACACAGTGATTCTATCATCCGACTCATATCTTGATATAGCATCCTTAAACCTTCAAAGAAACCTTTGCCTGATTGAGCACTAGTGTCATGAATGGCGTATTAAATGAATCTAAATGCCAACACATTATCTTCACACTCCGATGCAGTTTCTGTCCCCCAATACACATTAATTACATCCAGCTTCCTTTCTCAGACACAGTCCGGTATCTTGGCTTTCTCTTAGACTGAAGACTAACATGGAACCCACATACTTAAAAGACAGGAACTGAACCGACGATACGGCCAACTATACAGACTTAATAATAATAAAAATAAAAGGCTTAGCGAACCCGAAGGTTCGATGCCGACAGCACCAATCGCTTATTACACACCTCCCTCCACCGTTCGCCGTCCAAACCCAACTATATAGACTTATAAATAGAAAATCTAAACTTTCTGTAGAAATATGTATGAGTATGTAGGATGAATGATACAAAAACATACCATATATACAATAAAAGAAAAACAAGGATACTAAAAGTAAATGTATAAAACTCAAATACATACATGCTTCTATACAATATCTAAACAAAAAGTATTAAAGACCAGTAGAGGCTGAGCAGAGACGCTATAATCACACATACATGGCTTGAGTGGAGAATTTGGCTATTGCCAAAATTCCCATTTATACTTATTCACAAAAGGTCTCTGGACCACTGACGCTTCAGTCTTCGAGGAGGATTGTAGGGATGGGTGGTGCTGGATAGGGATTCTATAAGGGGATTTGGATGATAGGTAAGGTTCTGGTGAAATTTGGAGAGTTTTTCAGGTATAAGGTCTAGGACAATTAAGGTCATGTCAAGGGTTGTTGATCATATAAAATGGAGCATCAACTATTGTTTGAAGGAATTTAGAGTGAAAAGATTGGATACGTTTGATGATTTTTTAGCAGAAAATTTTTTTGCTGTCCCACAAAGTCCAAGTCCGTATTTCCAAATAGGTTTCAGGATTAATTTGTTTTCAATTCAAAGTTTAGATTATCTGTTCAGCTATCTGTATAGTTGGCCGTATCGTATTGTGAGTTCTTGTCTTTTGAGTCTAGTATGTGGCTTCCATGTTAATCTTCGGTCCAGGAGAAAGCCAACATACCGGACTGTGTCTGAGAAAGGAAGCTGGATGGAATTAAAGTGTACTGGTGGACAGGATCTGCGTCGGAGTGTAAGGTAATGTGTTTGCATTTGGATTCATTTACTTTAATCCGCCATTATTACACCAGTGCTCAATCAGAGCGAGGTGTCATTGCAGATTTCAGGATACTATTTTGGGATCTCAGTTGGATGATAGGATGGTGATATCATCAGCAAATATTGCCAGAAAGGTATCGGGATGGACAGGGATATCATAGATAAAAAGGATATAAAGGACAGGACTCAAGACACTACTTTGAGGAACAGCGGCTTCATCTGGGTAGGAATTGGAAAATTCTGTAACATAGCGAACTCGAAAAGTGCGATCAGTGAGGTAAGAGTGGATGATTAGGTACAAGGACTGGGGTAGAAGCCCGGTCAGCTTGAAAAGAAGCCCAGCGTGCCATACCCGGTCAAAAGCTTAACCTATGTCCAGAAATGCACCTGAGCAATATTTCTTACTTTCCAGTGCTGCAAAAATATGATCGACTACTCGGAGTCCTTGTAGGACCGTGGAGTGTTGTGAACGAAATCCGAACTGATGGGAAGGAAGGGATTCTATAAAGGGTAGGATTCGTTTCAGGAGGATCTTTTCAAAGATTTTTGAGAGAACTGGAAGTAGACGAATTGATCTGTAGGACGTCGAGGTATTGGTAGGTTTAACTGGTTTTGGAAATAGGATAATATTGCAATATTACAAAAGATGAAAGTGGGTGGTTATCTTTAATAAAAAAAATATGGCTTACACGGTTTAGCTTACAAGTTGGGTGATTTAATGAAAACAACAGCGGTTACTGTTAAATCACCAAAAGTAAAAAAAATATTTGGGTTTTATTATAAAATATGTTTTATTGATTTTTTAAATAGTTTTTTATAACTTATGTTGATTCTTATTTTTGATCAAATTACAGCATTAGCAGTCCAGTAAAATTAGTATATTTTCGTAAAAAAAGATTTAATCCAAATTTTATTATTTCAAAGAACGATTTTTTTTGATAAATTATACATGAAAAGTGAGCGATTGTATATTTTATGCTTCAACCTTTTTTACAACTGGGATGTGGTTAGGGAACATATCAACTTAGCAATCTAGGCATGTAGAGTATCCTTTCATAAGTATATTATGACGATGTATCGAAAGAACACAATAATACCAATAGATAATAAATTATCCATGTTTTATGTAAAAAAACAATAAAATCTTGACTTATAAAACTTTAAATTTATCTTCCCCTTTGTGCCTTCCAGCGTGAAGGTGAAACTATTTACACATTAATTTTGAAAATTTTAATATTTTAAGTATAAAGTTGTTAAAACTGTATGTTTATATATATATATATATATATATATATATATATATATATATATATATATATATATATATATATATATATATATATTTTATTGTCACACTTCAATATTTATGGGTCTTATAGATCAGGTTTTGTGTTATATCGTTTAGTGTTAGAAAATTCATACAATAGAATACCCTTGCCTACTCAGCTAAGTTGAAATTTTCCCAAACTCTTCAACCTGCTCTTTCTCAAAAGGGTAAAGCTTATCCCATCCCTTAGAGTTTTGAGTCTTCTAAAGCTTCCTGTAAAGAAAAAATGAAAGAAAAATATACATGTTTCTCTAGGGATACTGGGAGAAAGATTATTAGATTATTACAATCAGTACAGTATTTAATGTTTTATATAGTGCTCCTCATCCTTGTTTCACAAAGAGTTGAAGATCTAGTGGTTGAGCTTTTTGGCACTGAATCAATGCGGGCTGAAATGGAAAAAATGCAAGTTATTCATAGAGGTCACGGTCCGAAAATTTTAGAAGTTCTTGTAGGATTTTACGTTCTTGGTAAGTAGATGTGATGCAATCTAGTCATGAAGTAGCTATAATTAAATGATAATTACAATTTATCAATTTTGTTTTGTTTCCATGATTATTATTATATCTGACTTATTTTAACCTTATTTCTTGTGCATAATCTCTGATATATTTAATCTGACATTTCCAATACACAAACCAGATACAATAAGCTGTCACAAAATATAATTTGACGATTAGTAAAAATACATTTTTTTTTTTAATCCAAAACAACCCTTCAAAGTTGGGGTTTTAAAATTCATTAGAAACAATATTAAAATTACTATCCACCTACAATAAAATTCTTCACTGTCTTAGATGTCTAATTTCATAAGAAATGATTTCCAACTTTTTCTTATTTATGTTTTATAGTTAAAGAAAAACAATTGAATTGTATTGTTTCAACACAATTGAAACAATACAAATTACAATATAACTACATCAGTTTAATTATCATCATTGTATTCTCCTACTCCACTACTATGCAGTGTGAAGATACCATCTCTTTAGGGAATAAACCAAAATAAAAATGAATTGAAATTGAACATAAGGCAAACTTGTTAAATTTTAAATGGACCGTACTAAAGGCACGAGGGAGGCATATGTTTTGTGAAACAAAGGCTTCACTCACTATTCTCATTGGATGTACAGCACTTTCCTCTCTTAAGCTATTAGCCTTGGCTCTGGGTACTGAGGTCTTCTCTCTTTCCAATCAGTTGCCGTAACGGGTCGAACACAGATTCAGGAAGAAGTTATCTGGTGTTTGTAACCTGCCGCACTCTAGCGTGTTCACACAATATCACAGCCATAAAATATCTCATCTCAAATGAGAAGAAAATCATCTGACTTAAAATAAACAAAGAGAGAAATAATCAGAAGTACACTTCTAAACAAAATAAAATAAGTGAGCCAGGTCAAATATTAATTTATTTTTTTTTTTGTATAACTTTTTGTTTATTTAGAAATATTACATTCCGTCACATCAAGGACATTTATAATAGTGTTCAGAGAGCACACTCACACTATATTTACAATAAGTAAAAATAAATAATACAGAAACTTAATATATCAATAATAAATAAATAATAAAAATAAATGTATATAAACAAAAGAACTAACCTAATCATACACACTCGGGCTTGAGTGGAGGATCTGGCCATTGCCAAAACTCCAATAGATGCTTATTTACAAAAGGTCTCTGGGCCACTGCCGCTTCAACCTTCGAGGAGGATTGTAAGGATGGGTGGTGCTGGATAGAGATTGTGCAAGGGGATTTGGATGATAGGTAAGGTTCTGGTGAAATTTGGAGAATTTTTCTGGAATAAGGTCTAGGACAAATGGGATATTAAGGTCATGGTGTAGGATTTTGTTGACGTCACCAAAAGATCACCGGGTTATGGTCCGAACTGGGACCTGGTACCGAAACAAGGCGAGAAACATCAGAAATATTTTTGGTAAGGGCTAAATCAATAACGCTAGATTTGAATTTTTTCTGAGTTGGTATGTATGTTGGCTCGTTTGGAGCATGGAATTCTATATTTTTTCCGTGATATAAAATTTAATAATAATTTTCCATTTTTTATTCGTGTTATGGCAGTTCCATTGTAAATTTTTAGCATTTAAGTCCGAGAAAATGATTGTGTGTTTACCGATATTAAACATAACTCTAAGATCATGTATATTTATTTTATTTGGTGGGATATAAACTGCAACTGTGTTAATAATTTTGTTTTTGATCTTAAATTGAATTGCAGTCGCTTCCGCGTATTTTAAATTATCAATCGGCCTGTAAACGTGCGGTAGATCTGAACGTACCAGTATCATGACCCCCCCCCCCCCCCACCTCCCCCACCTCCTCTGTTCCTGTCCTTTCGGTAAACAGTGTAGCCAGGGGCCGAAAATCTGTTCTGAGGAGATAAACGAGTTTCGCTTACTGACACTATATGAGGTTGATTTTGATGTAGAAATTGCTTGAATTCTATATAATTTCGACGAAGTGTTTGGGCATTCCACATCATTAATTTTAAATAACGTCTACAATTGTTCATTATGAATAAAAAAAAAAGATTACATAATCTCTAGTATACAAGCAATAGTAAAAAAATAATAATACATAAATAGAACAAACAAAACATATAGGTAAAAATACGTGAATATTAATAAGTCGTCAGAATGATTTAGTTTACGATATATAAGGTGTAATATTGTATTTGTTTGAGTATTAAGACATATTTTGTTTAATATAAACAATAGTAATTTAGTATGCATTGGTTCGGAAGTTGATGTGAAAGTGTTGACTGTTTTCGTGATAGCTGTGTATTTACATTTGATTGAACTCACTTTAAGGTCAGTAGTACACAGAGGAATGTTGCAGTTAAAGTATACAATATGTGATACTAAGCTAATAGATAAGAAAATATTACATAAATAGCATCTTAAGCCTATTTTAAGCATTTTAAACTTTTGACTGTTAATCAATTAATAATAATCCTTCTATTACAATAAATATTTTTGACATTGTCTTCTGCCGTTTTTACTTCAGAAACAATATTTTTAAATTTATTGATTATTTTATTTAAGTTAAAATTTCGAAAATATTTTAACTTCTTTCAAACATTCAGTAATAGATGGTTCGTTATTAGAAGGATTATTTCCACTAATATTGTCTGAGAATGTTTTTTGAAACCATTTTGAGTCGGTTTTTGATAAGGAAGGAAAATCATTTTGTCTTGGCTTGAATATTTTTCGTTGTGAAGCGTGGATGGTTGGTCGTTTACTGAGCTTCAATTGCTGGTTTCGTATGAAGTATGGGCATTTTTCGTAATTAGGGAAATGACTTTCATTGCAGTTACTGCACTTCGGGACGAAGTCTTCGCGTATGATATTAGGGCAGTCTCTTGATAAGTGTTCCTCGGAGCACTTCAGGCAACGGGTTTTTTGAAGCAGTTTCGAGCTACGTGATTATATTCTTGACATAAATAACATTGTGTCAACACTTTTTATCACTTTTTCCCATGATATAACAACATTGTCACAGTATTTTATGCGATTAAGTTTTACCAATTGTTCTTTATTATTTAGTATAATGATTGATAATGGTAATTTTTTTCAACACCATCTATTTTTTTAGTCATTTGAAACACTTTGTAAACTCTGTCTATTGTAGCTTGTCTATTTAGATCTGCCTGAATGTCTTCGATAGGATAGTCCGAGGGCATGCCTTTTAATACCACTTTAGCTTAATCTCATGTTTAGGAGTATAGGTATGGAAGTTATGATTAAGTAATTTAAGTTCATTTTTAACGTTTATGAAGTCTTCGTTATTACATACATAAAAAATAGTTTTATTTCCACCGTATTTGATATTTATATGTTTTACTGAATATTTAAGTTTTGTAATTATTTCCTTGTGATTTGAAAATGAGGAATTGACTACTATTGGGGGAAGTTCTTGTAAGTCAGGATTTTTATTAGTTTGGGCAGAGTTCTCTTCATCTTCTTCCTCATCGGAGAAAAGTGAGTAACTATTTTGATTAGGAATGTTATATAAGGTTGACTCACCTCTTCTTCTTTTCGGAGCTGAATTTGATTGTCCATTTTTTTTTTTTTTTTTTTTTTGAAGTGCTAGAAGTTTCTTCTTCGTCTTTCATGTTCACTTTGCTCCCCAAAAGGGCATTCTTACTTGAAAAAAAATTCCATTGTTTATACTTAGATATGGATTAAGAAGACTTAAGATGTTGTTTATATTTTAAGGATTAAAGGTGTCAAAGTCCATTCGCTATCTGCGAAATACAATTATATGTAGTGTTTACATACCTAAAATTACTTTAAATATTCAAATACGAAATCTCTCTTACAGTATTACTAAAATAAATATATTTGTTCCAAATAATAATAAAAAATAAAAAATAAAATGTCGAATATCTCGAAAACGGTTGGTTTTAGCGCAAAAATTACCATCGAGGTGTCTAGGGGGGGTCCGTAGAATTCCATGTAGAACTCAATATCATAATAAACATTAGGGAGGTAACTGTAAGGTTATAATAGGTGGGAGGAGAGAGGAACGCGAAATTTGTCTTAAATATATATGATCATAGAATAAAGAATAATGATATAAGGAAATATATTATTTTGAAAAATAATAAAAACATAAAATGTCGAATATCTCAAAAACGGTTGATTTTAGCAAAAAGGACTTAGAGTTTCTAATGGTTTAGGAGGGTTCGTAGAATTTCATGTAGAGCTTAATATCATAATCAAAATTATGGAGTTCACTGTAAGGTTATGATCATTATAATGGTTGGAATGGAGGGAGAAGCGCCAGATTTGTCATTAAGGAAAAGGTAAAGATTAGGGAAGTTATATAAAACACAATGGCGGTTGTCACGTGACTCCACACAAAGCCCTAAATATCTCAAGTAGCAGAAAAACGAGATGGTGGCGGTCATGTGACTCCGCACATAGCTCTAAATATGTGAAATAACGGTAAAACAAAATGGTGGCGGTCACGTGATTCACGTGACTTCATACAAAAACCTCTTGCTTCGTAAGTAGTATAAAAACAAGATGGTGACGGTCACGTGACTGTTCACGTCAAAAGTCACTTAAATCGCAGCAAAACAAAATGTCGGCCTGGCTTAACCTCTTACAGAGGAAAGGGGGGAGGAAATGTGGCGGGTCACAGGATCGAAGAGGAATATGACGCCACATAAGGCGTAAACCTCGTAAGTTCCAGAAAAGAAAATGACGGTCGGACACACTCAGCCGCTTAGAGAGGGATGGAGGGGGAGATGTGGCAGGGACAGTATCTCAAAAGGGATCTCATGACGTCATAGAAGGCGCAAACCTCGTAAATACCTGAAAATAAGTTGGCGGTCGGGCACTCTCAGCCCCTTAGAGAGTGTTGGGGGAGGAACGTGAGGGTCACAGAATCGAAAAAGGGCGTGGCTTAAGGGTCACGTGACTGGCCACGTGGTGGTTAATGTAGGGAA